GCTTTTGTATATATTTCAATGTACTGTTGTTACTGAATGAGTGATATACAAAGAGAGTCAAGTGATGTCATGAAGGCCATCTTGGCTTCCAGAAAGTGTTTTTGTATATATTTCAATGTACTGTTGTTACTGAATGAGTGATGTACAAAGAGAGTTAAGTGATGTCATGAAGGTCAACTAGGCTTTCAAAAAGTGCTTTTGTATATATTTCAATGTACTGTTGTTACTGAATGAGTGATATACAAAGAGAGTCAAGTGATGTCATGAAGGCCATCTTGGCTTCCAGAAAGTGTTTTTGTATATATTTCAATGTACTGTTGTTACTGAATGAGTGATATACAAAGAGAGTTAAGTGATGTCATGAAGGCCATCTTGGCTTCCAGAAAGTGTTTTTGTATATATTTCAATGTACTGTTGTTACTGAATGAGTGATAAAAACGCTTTCTGGAAGCCTAGATGACCTTCATGACATCACTTAACTCTCTTTGTACATCACTCATTCAGTAACACCACCATTCCCAGTTTGCCTCTGGAGAAGAAAGGTCCACCTTTCAAAAGCCATCAGGTTATAGGGTTTTTATCATTTTATATTAAGACTTCTTGAACCTATGTGCTTTTCTGACATCGTGATTGATATTTCCAGTTAGTATCATGAAATGCATTTTGAATATTAACAAAAATTGTTGAACCTTTTAAATATTTTGTTTCACTTGTTTACTTGCAATGTTACATCTCTGTATAGAATGCTTTAGGTATTTATGGGGCATGTAATCAGTGACAAAATCTTTGAAGTGCTCATATGATGGCATGTATTGCACTATAGTGATCTGAATAACAATTTCAAAAGTTAGGTTATGATCTACTTATCCAAGCAAAAAAGTCAATAATTGGTATAGAGAGAGAATGTTGGCTGGAGGTGTGTTTGGCATCTTAGTCCTCAACTTCAACTCTGATTTGAACCACATTGATAACTTGCTATTCTTAGTTGTACATCACACTTTTTGTTGTAAATAAAGCTTATCCATGATAAGGAACACCAAATTTCTGTAATAAAGCTAACTTCAAGGGGTGATGATAACATCATTTACACTATAATTATATATATTTTTTTTTAATTACTACTAGTTGATAATACTTATAAAAGTGGATGCTCTGTCTGACACTATGTCACCTCATTGAAATTGGTTGACACCATTATTTTGGTTTTTGAGTTATTATGTAATAAAAGAGAAGAAGAATAAAAAAATTCAAACTTTTTTGCTATGATATTTACAGACATTCCCAGGACTTGTGACTCAGCCACTTCATAGATATTGTTATAAAAGGAAACACTGGCTAGTATTGTAAAGTTTTGATGACCTATTGAGGAGATATTTAAAATACCATTTTGATGAACAATCCAAGCCATCCCTACATAGGCAGTGCTATTGCCTACTTGATATATCAAAAAAATATATTATTTGTACATTTTGGAATGGATTCCTTTCATCTTCAGCAAGTAGATCTGAAAGATACGTATACAGTGTAATTCAAGAAAAATGATAAAATAACACAGATTAAAAATACAAAGTATAGCATAACTTATAGCAGTCTAAAAATTCCTGAAAGTTAGAAGTAACTAAAGGATAAAACTTTGAGCTCAAAAGAACCATAAGAGTTCAAGAGTAGGAGATAGTATTTATTATGAAGGATTTCTCATGTGTTCATGGTTATGCACAAATATATGACCTTCAGTTTTGCTTATGTAACTAACCTTTCAGCTACTACACATGTACACGTGTTTAATATATGAACGACAATAGAAGAGGTGTTTTATTAGAAAGGAAGATTTAAAGATAACTTAAACTGTAGTTAGGTGTAGTATTTATGTATCAATTTTGTAAGTTGAAGTTCTAGAGTTACCTCTGTTTACATAAGTATGGAAGGCATAAATATAGGGGGCATTAGAGGCAGTACTGTCTTTATCGATGGGATTAATTATTTTGTTTAAAATGACATGATAGATAGTTTCCAGAAACTTCTGTGGAAATTCATTTTGTTTTAATAAAATCTGTATACGTTTTATCTCACTGTGAAGAGTTGAGTAAAATGAACAGATATTTATAAGCTCTAGAGAATAAACAAGAGACAAGGCTACTTTTATAGCTTGAAGAGAGAGAGTCACGAAAATGCGTGTTGAGGTTGGTGAAGGTTTTTTTAGCAGAAGTTAGAGGTCATAAAATAGCTAAGGTGATTACATTTATCTGATCTGTCCAGCCCATAATAACATTGATATAATCATGTGATTATATCTGTGTAATCTGACTAAGCCCATATATATATATATATATATATAATCTTATGACTGTATCTGTGTAATCTCACTAAACCCATATAAAAAACTTTAGTAATTAAAAGAAACTTTAGTTTTTAATCATTTTAATTGAGTTTTAAGGATGGAACAGCCAAGATGGACCAATACGGCACATGTTGTCCCAAAATATTATGTTATATTTACCTAGAAGCACATGGTTTTGTTTGAGTTTGACCTAATAGATTTAAGTGGTGAGACAATTTCTGACATCATGGTTAAGAGTCAAGTGTTCTTCATTGCTCTTGTGGTCAGGTCTGGGCTAGTTAGGTTAAGGCCATCATCAACCATCCTAATTTTCAAACACATTTTTCATGCTGTATGCCTTGAAATGTTCATAATTAGAAAATAAAAACACATTTTATGATAAACTGGACTGTTATATTTTATAATATGCCTATAACAAAACAGCACTGGTTTGTTATTTCTAGCATTTTCATTAACTGGTAAATATTGGTCTGTTTCAAAATCTATTTGATTGGCACAGATGGAAGCTGCTACTTATTCTGACCGTTTGCAAAGTCTCTGTGAGGAGCAGCTATCTTAGTGTATACATTTAAAGTTAAATCTTCATTTCTTAAAGAAATATTTAAAAGAATCTTGTTCTTAATTTTTATTTAACATGTGATGCACCTGAGCTCTGATTTTTCTACTCCAGCACTTTTAACATCAAAACTAGGCTACTGCACTTTTCAATCCATTATAATCAGGAAATGCATATAATTAAAAGCAATAATCTAAAATGTTATTCTCCTACTATCTTGATTTGCTGAGGTATCAATAAATTTGTCAAAGCCACCAGGGAAGTCCCTCCCCTCTCCCTGACTTTTGATATGGCTTGCTAATCTACTTTACATGACTGATCGGCATGTTTATAACCAATAGAAAAAGTAGGCTCTCTGCTATAAAGTTATTATTTAGTTTTGTATCATAAACTGTTAGCAAAATTGCTTGGTATGTGGTTATTATGTTTTTATGCTTTGATTACTAAAAGAATGTTTTTAACCCATTTATAGCTTTTTTCGAAAGCCATATAAATCATAGTAGTTTTGGGACATTTTAGTTTAGTGACATATTTTTTATGTTCTAAAATGCATATTTGAAAGATAAATTAATTGTTTTTGGACACCCAAATTTCTCAGATTCAGTGAAGCTTACAAAAAATTGTTACTTGGAAAAAAAGAACTTAATTATGCAGTTAGTACTACAAATACTTGTTTTTATGTATGTATTTTATCTGTTGCTTTATATTTGTAACAAAAGTAACTAAAATGTAAAAATTAAAAACTTCTCAGCATAGCATAACAAAACTTCAGTAAAAAAAAATGTCTAAAATTTCACAAGCACATGAGCTTGAGCATTTTGTGAAACATTACACTTGGCAACTACATGGAGTTATGTTTATGTTAGCTCTCTATGAAACAGCTAATGCGTTCCTGCTGCAATGTATTGCTTTTGTAGGGTGGCTAGATTTTCAAACTAAAAGAACTGGGACAGCCCAGCCCTTGCTCCTAATTCTGAAATGGTTATTTATTTGTTGTAAAGCTCAAAGCTACACAGTGAGCTGTTTGTGCAGTGTCTAACACAGGTATTGAAATCTGATTTTTAGGGTCATAAGTCCTGAATCTTGCCACTATGGGGCAAAATGGTTATTACAAATTTAAAATAATTTAACTTTTATTTAATTTATTGAACTGTTCCACAATACTTCCAAATATACTAACAATAGCATTGTTTTTGAAATCATTTCAACTACTTTTTGATGATAGACAGTAAACAAATGAACAAAAATAGTCAAATTATACATCCAAGAAATATTTAATTGTTCACTTGATCCAATTTATCTTACAATTGGCTACTTCATATCTGGATTTATTTAAGAATCCATAACATTTTCAAACGTATTGCTTTTAAGTTTTAGCATTACTTTGAAAGTCTTTAGACATATTTTTGTTCTAAAATTCAGTATATGACTGTGTAAGGTGTGTTTTGATGGTGAGCACAACCTTAATTGTCTCCACATGCAGATCTGTGCAGACCTGGATTTCTCACCATGCACAGACAGAACTTTTCAGAGAGTTTGGCAGCAGGGGAAAACATATTACAACAAAGAGCAAGTTAAGTAGGCCTATTTCCTTTGTGATTTGATGTGGCTGACAGTTTGATGCCTCTATTTTAAAACTAGGGCATTTGGTGCATCCTGAGAACTTTTTATGGGACACTGGGACAAGCTACCAAAAAATAGGACTATCCTGGCAAAACCTTGTGGTTTTGATGCAGTTATAACTGCTCCAGTGGATGCAAGGTGCAGCAAGAAAATCATAAAATTAAAAGAAAGAACTTGAAAAAATTTAATGTTCATTTAGGAGATTATGCAAAGAAATATAAAACTGTAAGATGAAAAGAAGTATTTTTATTCTTAGTGTTAAAATCACCTTTCACTCAGACTGACTCGGTAAAACCTTTGGGAAGTTCACAGACAAATCTTTAGTAAAAATGTTTAATTTAAAAATCTGATTTTTGTTTACAACAAACTTGTAATGTTTACTAAAAGCTTGCTAAATTTCACATGGTAAATTCAGAATTACATGAACAAATGGTTAGTTAAATATAGTGCTGCTGTGTTAAAGAACTTTTCCATATGTAATTTTTTGTTCCATAAATACATGCATATTTACCAGTTTATTTAGAGTTAAGAGTGAACAGAGGTCAGGTAATGATCATTTTCCTTTTGTATGGTGATTGGAAAAATAATTAGTTATCAATCACTGATTAGCAGTGATTTTTTCAAGTGGAAAGGCTGATTTCTGAACCTTTCAAACACATGTATTGAGGCTAGCCTTTTTATTTTCAGAGGAAAAGGGAAGTCAAGAAATAACTATTCATGCTGATTCAGCCTGAAAAAATAGGAACATTCTGGATTATTTTTAATAATAGGACACTTTATGAAAAATAAAGTTTAAGTCACAGAACTTGTAAGAATGTTATTAGCAATATTCTGTTTTAAAAATCTATAATAATTCTACAATAATTTCAGCCCAGTCCAGGGCCCTGTTCTGCCATAATCCACCAGGAAATTTCCTAGTAATCCACTGTTTCTCTTCACCCCTGGTCATCACTGACTTTCAAGAACATCATGTATTAAAACTCATGTGATGCCTGCTTCTTTACTTGCACATGAGCAGAAATTTCCAAACTTCACACACATCTTTCTTTCACACACTGAAAATGGAAGCTCCAAATTTGAGGAAATTTTGAGTTGCAATTGCTAGTGAAAATCATAATACAGAGTTGCCAAATTTAACACAGTAATTTTGGTGGAACTACATCAGACATGATTCTCACTTACTTCTGATTGACATAACATGGAGTCATCAGCAGGGAGCTTCTCACCTATGGTAATGATCTGAAAGAAGTCACTGTGAGTCAAATCAATCTTCTTGTACGTGTCCTATAATACATATGTCATAAAGTATTTACTACCTAACCTCCGTATGTCTACTGTCATAGTAAATCTAATCTCTTCCACCAAACCTTCTTAGCTGGTTACAGTTTTTTGTTCTATATTTTTGTATTCTCATAAACATTGCAAGATATTATTTTGCAGCCAATTACTTTATTTGCCTACAAAGTGTGATAAGTATAATTTATAGATATATTGTGAAACAGAATAGTGTAATATATTATAACAATAAAACACGTTTTTTTCATTTCAAGATACTAGTGTTTCTAGGTGTATGGCAAGAAAAAATGTGTAGCTGTGGTTACAGCCTTGGCTGCAAGTTAAACACTGTGGAGGTAATGTTCATGTGCCAGTTGAATGACCAGAACACAAAACTTATCTTTGACATAAATATTAGGAAAGCACTTAAAGGGTTGTCTAATTTTAGAGATGAATATTGTGAAAAATTCAAGGTGTGTGGCAAAAAAAAAAGACACAGAAATATCTAGCAGTATATGACGTTCAACCACTGTTGTCAAGAAATCTCCAGCAGTATATGACATTCAACCACTGTTGTCAAGAAATCTCTAGCAGTATATGATGTTCAAACACTGTTGTCAAGAAATCTCCAGCAGTATATGACATTCAACCACTTTTATCAAGAAATCTCCAGCAGTATATGACGTTCAACCACTGTTGTCAAGATATCTCCAGCAGGTATATGACATTGAACCACTGTTGTTAAAATATCTCCGGCAGTATATGATGTTCAACCACTGTTGTCAAGAAATCTCCAGCAGTATATGACATTCAACCACTGTTATCAAGAAATCTCTAGCAGTATATGATATTCAGCCATTAATGTACATTAGATTGTACTTAGATCTCTATCATCAATTATCCATGAAATTAGCAATTTCAAATTATACAAAATTATTGTAGGTTTGATTTTTTCTTTCTTATAGCATTTATTCTGTCATTTGGAATTTTCATTAGTTCTACACAGTTTATTTTACGTTCTTTATGAATAGTTTCCTTTAGGAATCAGTTTATCACATATAACTCTTATGATATCCTACAGGATGGAATTTTTCAATTTATTTACATTCAATAGGATTCAGTTTCTCCCCTGATATTCTAAAGCAGGGGTTCCCAAACTGGAGGCAGCATGCCCCAGAAGGGCCTTAGGAAAGTGTTGTTTTTTTTGGGGGGATACACAATGCTGTTAAGGTATTTAGTATCCAAAGTTCATAATTTATTGGGTGGGGGTACTCACTCAGGAAATGATGAAAGCTTGGGGGGGCTTGTGCTGTGAAAGTTTGGGAACCTCTTGTTCTAAAGGATTAATGTCAGTAAACTTGTAGGACATAATACTGTTATTTACTTATTCTAAGTGATTCTGTGTTGTCCTTTAGGAAGACCTACAAGGAATTATTATAAGAGGCAGCATATTCAAATGAATTTTGAGATGAATTTTGGTTGTAATTTATGTAACAAATGTGTTTTCAAAAGATTTCATTCTTTGCAACAGACAGATCACTTAATTAAGTTTTACAATACTGTACACATTACTTATGTAAACACTAATCACAGAATGAAAATCCAAAATGGATCAGTTTAAATTTTATTTTGATTAAGTTAAGATTTTAAAAATAGTTTAATTAAAATACATATTGCATAATTGTTTTGAAAATTCTAAGAAAGGAATTTTTGTTACTGAATTGCCATATTATTTTGTGTGATGATTGTTGTCAGGAAAGAATTATTTTTGCACATCTTTGTTTATCATACTAATATATATTTACTGTTATACTTATATGCTAATAAGTCATACCCATCCTCAGTGGACATAGTCTGCTTCAGCCAGTTTTTATTTTTGGACTTTTGTTTAGGGGGGGGGGGCAAGTAAGTTGTACGAAGCAGGGCAGTTGAAAAAGGGTTATATATTCTAAGTGTGAATTGAATACATAGTACTTTTGATGGATGTGTAGAATTTACATATGGTATATAATTTATATCACTAACGTTTGAATCTAAATAATGTACTTGTACTTCAGTATCAGAGAGTGTTGAAAATGTTCTTAAGGCCATACTAATAAGTGACGAAAGACCACCCACAAGAGCAAGCTAATAAAAAAACGTGTAAGGTAGGTAAGTGTAGTTTTTCACATTCACTTATCTAACCAACCAAAACTTAAAAGGATTAAAATTATATCATTAGGTAAATCATTCCAAATCTTTTCTTGTGTGGTATTCAGCATCACTAATGTCAAACAGAAAAGCCAATAGATTCTACAAAAACAGTACTGTTAGCAAAGAATAAATTGAACACAGTAAATGAAATAAATAAATATAAAAATACTTTCATTCACAGAAGTGCAAGTATTTTTACTACTAAGTTGCTGGTCAGCTTCTAATTCTGTGTGACTAGTGAATGGGGTCAAAACCAAGAGACATAACTATGAAAGTACCTAACTTACTCTGTTAAAAAATGGTTGTAAGGTATCCCACAAGTGCATATGTTACACAATTCAACCAATTGTTTATGTATAACTCTAAGCCAATCCTTCTGTATAGGCCTGGCATGGCCAGGTGGTTAGGGCACTTGACTCGCAATCTGTGGGTCGCGAGTTCGAATTCTCATCCCACCAAACATGCTCGCCCTTTCAGCCGTGGGTTCATTATAAAGTGACAGTCAATCCCACTTTTCGTTGGTAAAATTGTAGCCCAAGAGTTGGCAGTCGGTGGTGATGATTAGCTGCCTTCCCTCTAGTCTTTCACTGCAAAATTAGGTACGGCTAGTGCAGATAGCTTTCGTGTAGCTTTGCGTGAAATTCAAAAACAAACAAACTTTCTGTATAAGTTTTTGTATTACCTGTTTCAGTAAGTTACCTTCTTAAAAATCTATGCAGAAATGCATGCATGCTACTTCAGACTTGAGAACAAAGGTTACAATATGTTAAAGTTTATGTATATGATTCTGAGACATCTGATCAACACAGGTATGATTAACTTCATGCAGACACTTTAGCTTCATGCCTTTTTTTCCCTTAATAAGGTTTTCTTTAAAATATTGTTGGCAGCAATATTATTTATGACTTTTTATTTCTGCTAAAGTAAGCTTAAAATCCGCTCAAGTCAAATTTAATGTTTTTTTTTTGAGCCAAGACACTTTCATAACCCTCTTACTGTTAACTGTAGCTTTCTTGACTTCTTTATTTTAAGATAACACAGCAATTGCCATTCTACCAGTGAATTTCATATTCTTTAAAGCTAGGCACGTTTAGTTTACTGGTATTTTAATGTTTTATTCATCCATTTAAGAAAAGGCTTTTGGTAGGATTTTTTTTAGCTTGATTGTACAAAAAACAAAAACATCCCAACCTTCATTAGCATTTTTATCATTTAGATTAGTCACCTCATCTTTCTATTGCAAAATAACTTGGAAATCAGTTTTATAAATTTAAAGACATGATGTCAAAGGTATGAATGTTAGGATCTCTAGTACTCAATTGCTCTTCCAAAGGTGCATTTCTAACCATATCCTCTGGTAGAATCACTTGCTGAGGAGAGAGCAATCCCACAAGAAGTTCTTCAACCTCATGCAGTGAAGACTAATCCTTAACTTAAGGTAATTCATAATAATAATAAGCCTTGTTTTATTTGAAGCACAATTAATGTGCCATTTCATATTTCTGTTAGTGACCTTTAGGGAAATACCTGTAAGAATTTTACATTTTTCTCTCATTTAATCACAAATTTTGCTATAAAGTATACTGAACTTATTTTTAGCAACCCTATCATTATTACTAACTATTTGCTTGACGCTTTTTTAACATACATATGGTCTCTCTAGGTTAAAGAATTTCCCCTGGCTTTGTTTGCTCCTTTGTGACTCAGTGACAAGTATGAGTGTCTGTGATGCTCAAAATCAGGTTTCCAAACCCCTATAGTACACCCTACAGATATCTTATTATATAGCTGTGTGCTTTTAATAACAAACAAAAAAAATTGCTTCTGTGTAAATTTTCTTATTTTCATAAGCACCGTTTGCCAATCTATTTACACGTGTCATACCTATCATTATTCGTTAAACCTGATCCATAGATGTCATCAGTTTACCTGTTAATCTCACCATATCCCCCGTAATCTCTCATTTATTGATTTAATCCGTGGATTGTTGCTTAAAATGTTTTATCAGCACCCAACACGTGGAAGAACTGAAAGAGTTACTTGATTATTTCAATCCCTAAATCTTGTTGTTGCGCCTTGCTACATGTTAACAACTCAGACCTGTTATTAGTTACATCATTAGTCCTGACATGTGGTAAAAAATTAGCATCTTTCCTAGTACTTAACACTAATTTATCTATTCACTTCACAACATCCTAAGCTAGTCATTGCGTTTCACTACTCCCAGACCTTTTGATATATATAATTAGAGAATCTCGTACTATAACGTTTTTACTTTATCTACCTTTACTCTTTAGTTTTGTACTTTCCTATAACTTTTTCCACTAATGAACAAGGTGGACAAAAAAGCTTTTCTGAATTACGGTGGTTCAGCTGTAAGTCTGAGAGCTTATAACTAAAAATCAGGTTTCATAACTGCAGCGTGCACAGCGTGAATAGCCCATTATGTAGCTTTGTGCTTAACAACAACTACTATTTGAAAGTTATGTCTCAACCCATTTAAAAAACAACACTTTAATCAAATAATTCAACTTTTGAACAACAACGAGAATTATTTGAATTGATATCAATATGAAAAGTGGATTTTTTCTGGTAATATCCAATTGATTATCTTGTTTGTTTGGTTTGTTTTGAATTTCGTCCAAAGCTACACGAGGGCTATCTGCGCTAGCCGTCCCTAATTTAGCAGTGAAAGACTAAAGGGAAGGCAGCTAGTTATCACCACCCATCGCGAACTCTTGGGATACTCTTTTACCAAAGAATAGTGGGATTGACCGTCACATTATAACGCCACCACGACTGAAAGGGCGAACATGTTTCGTGGGACGGGGATTCAAACCCACAACTCTCAGATTGCGAGTCGAGTGCCCTAACCACCTGGTCATGCCAAGCCCTGCTTATCTTGTACAAGTTTTCAGTACGAGCTTTTAAATAGTAATTTACTATTACCATGATGCTATTCTTTGAAATTTACAATAAAAAACAGTGCAATCAGTTGTGGTTAAATTTCGAAACATCTAGAAATTGAAAGATAATTCGTTAGTTGTGTACTCTTGGGCATGACACAAAAACTTATTGTAAAACCAAGATCATTTTGAAAGAAAAAAATGCCCAACTTTCAAAAAAGAGGTGATACAAAATAAATGCTCAAAATATTTTGATAAAAAATGCACGACCTTCTTGAAAAAGTCAAGCTTAAATAACTCATCACGTTTAAAAATATATAGTGAGCAAAACAAAAAAAACTCGAGAGCTTTACAAAGAAAGAGCACCAACGTCTGAGAAAAGATTAAATTTACTGGGGTTTTCAATCTGTGGGTCGCGGGTTCGAATCCCCGTCACACCAAACATGCTCGCCCTT